CTAAGAACAGTACTAATACTGTACTAATAGAACAGAAAATTTCAAAGACAGATTTCCTAGTGGCCATGATTCGAAATTGACCAACTCGTGCTAGTTTTTAATCAGAAATTTATTCGACTAGTTAGTCAAGACTTTTGCTATAGGGTAAATGCAAAAAAGTATACTTCTTGCGCTTAAATGGTCGGCTACTTATATACGAATGAGTATGTATGCAAGTAATTCGTTCTACCGTCAAAAGACAATGACAAAATTATTTATCTTTAATTGAGGGGGTGGAACGATTCATAAAGGCCTTTAGTTAAATACACTGCCAACAATTGGCATAGAACGTCCGAATAATTGAATAAACCCTTTTGTTTTTTCAAAGCATAATTGATTGGCTCTATGGCGAGTGAAATAAATACTCTTTATAATAGATAATGTAGATATGTACATATAGTCACTTTTTTTTGTTAAAAGTTTATATTCCTGAATGGATGACTCTACGCCCATATGATTATCTCTATGCGTAGGATTCTATGTGTTTGGTTATTCTAAACATAGTTCCCAATAAAAATAAACAATGCGCAGACATATGTATGTATTCGTATGTAAATAGACATATGTATGTATATATATGTATAAAGACATCTGTATATCTAATTATTAAGTTTTTCTTGTTTATAGTACCACCCATGCGCAAGATATAAATGTGCATTAGGGTGGTCCAAAACACGAAAGTCGGAATCTTAATGCACTCATCCCCTAAGACTATTCTATATCGAAAAAAATAACCCCTATTTTTTATTTTGAATTCAAAAAATATTTAGTGGTCGCTTAATGTGCTCAAAGTTTTCCATGTATTTTACATGGGGAAAACAATTTTTCCTAGAAATGGTATCGAATTCTTAAAAATAAATTTTTTTTGTTCGGAAAACTCTGGTTCTCTTCAGGAGACTTCCAATAACAATACCCAATTGTTTACTTAACCAATTTTTAATACTAAAGATTTTTTATTTATCCCCCCATTGCATTTCTGGCATTTTCTTGGGGTTTTGGCGGACCTATAAAATATAGTTACTATGGAAAAATTGTTAAATAATTGGGTATTACTATTGGAAATCTCCTGAAGAGAAACAAAGTTCGTTCGTTTTGAATTATATTGCTTTTCAAGAATTCTATACCATTTCTGCGAAAAGTGGTTTTCGCCATATAAAATACATAGGAAACTTTGAGCGCCTTGAGCGACTTCTAAATATTTTTTTGATTTTAAAATAAAAAAGTAGCGGTATATTTTCTTTGCTATAGAACACTTCTAGGGGGTGAGAGCAAATAAATTCCGACTTTACTTTTGTAAATTCATTTTTTTTTTACCACCCTAATGTGCATACTTACATATGTACGCTTGAATATGCGTATGTATGGTTGCTTGGTTGAAAGTGAATTGATTTAGAGAAAATTCTTAAACTTTGCTGAATTGTTCGAAAATAAAACTGTCTTTACATGGGTCGATTTCTGCCGACTGGAAAATTGACTAGAAAATGTACTAGGCTTTCCGACCAACAAAACATAACGGATTCTCAAAATGTCTGTAACACTGTGCGACAGCCGAAACCAGCCTGAACTTTGATAACATTTTCCGAAAGTATACCCATCCAGTAATAAAACACTCTATGGATTTGCAAAAGAAAGCTCGTATTTTTATTTTATGGCCTGCTAAAGTTTCCATTCCCGGCCGCCTAAGAAAATTTCAAAAAAGTGAAAAAAATGGTTAAAATAAATGTCTGAGCGAAATTAAAGGTTAAGACATACATACATATGTAGTAAAATTTTATGGGAAATATTTTCGTAGAACGTTTTAACGCTTTAGCTCCTGCCTTAAAGGGTCTTTTTTACCCTTACTTTAAGGAAACCCCCCAAGCAACAAATTTGATAGTTCGCTAGAGGATTGAAATATTCTAGGAATTTATTTTTCGGAAAATTCTACTAGGGGTCTTTTCAGGAAATAACTTCATACCATCAACGTAAATTTGTCTACAAAATTAAAATAAAAAATCTATGCCAAGAAGAAATAACAGCCAAGCTCAATATTGAAAAAAGAATTTGAAAAAGATACATTGAGTTGTTTACTACTGGATGGATGTACTTTCAGAATATGTTAACAAAGTTAACAGAGTAATCGAATAAACAAATTAATTTTAGGGTTGCATCGGATCGCCGTCGACTGGCAAAAGTTGAACGCAAGTCTATTTTTGTCGGTTGAATAGCCATCTACGTGTAAAGGCAGCTTAAAAGATTCATAAAGTTAAATAAAATGTAAATGAATTGTATGTAACAGTAGATAAAAAAATAAGTAAATTCTTCTTCTATTTTGGCCGAGCTCAGTAGAGCACGCCGGTGGTTTCTTGCCTGTGCCCACTGATGACAAATGGAAATGCCCAGTCCTTCTCCGATTGGTCTTCCCATCGTAGAGGAGGTCTCCCACTAGCAGATTCCGAGTTGGATAATTTAAGGACTGGGGCATCTGTATCGATTCGAACGACATGGTCAAGCCTGCGGAGCACTAATATTTTAATCCACTGCGCTATGTTTATGTCGCTGTCAAGCTCATATAGAGTTTATAAGATTTACGTGCGCTGGGCCTATTTGGAATACGGATGGAGAAATCGACTCTGACTTTATTCAAAAATTGACTTTTTGCTAAAGAGACTTGACTTCTGGGAATCGAGTTCAGACGTTTCAATTCAGCTAGAACCGACTCTCACTCGATGACTTTTCGATTTTTTTACATTCTATTGACAAATCAGTCGATAAATACCTAGCCAACAAAAAATCCCAAAATGGATCCGAAGGAAGATAAAAATTGTGGAAATATGGAGTTAGTCCATTTACCCATTCCACTTTCGGATACTTCGAGGATCCGTTTTCCCACTAAGGTATGCGGCAGAAACTTATGTACAGACAAGTAGGGAAAATTGTTGTGAAACGGATAAGTTTTTGGGAGTTTTTTGTAATTTCTCTGATTTAATTTTTCGTTCAATAGCTTTCCTTCTGCACTTCACAGATACTTTTTCACGTTCGAAAAAATTCTGGAAGCGCCTGACTGAATTACCACCCGGCCCCTTATGAAAGCTAACAAATATTGGTAAGCTCCTCTGCACGCTATGTCACTGCGAACTATGTATACATGCTTTCAAATAAACAAATAAAATACAATTTTCAAATAACTTTATACTTATCGAAAGTTTCGAACGTTTTCCGGGTACGAAAATTAATGACAATTGTGTTCGTTTTCTATTCGGTTCCGCATACGGAAAATTGGCTGGGTGTATGTGGTTTTATTAATTATTAAATTTGAAATGTAAAATTGTATGAAGTTAATTTAAACCATAAAGTCGACTATCAGAAGCGATTAATCGACTTTAAGAATCGAAAGCCTTTTGCATCCCTAATTGGCAAATATAAAAAACAATTTTTCTTATGAATAAAATTTGTTTATATTGGAAATTTAGGTTAAAAGCAATTCACGTCCGATGACAGAAAAGTTTGAACTTAACATTTTTAAAAATCTTATCAGCGAAATCCAAATAATGACATTTTTTTGGACTTTTTTTTTAAATAGCTCTAGCTCAGATAGAACTTACTTTCATGAAATATTTTGGCGGAGGTCTTACAATAAAATAAATTTTATGATTCCGGTGAAAAGCACGCAATTTTTTTGGTGAGTCGTACTAGTGTAATGTACATATTTTAACACTCAAACAGAGTTCCGAGAAAAAATGCGTCTTTTAAGAAATCTTAAAATTAAAAATACCTTTGAAAGATTGATTGGGGTGCATATAAGAAATTCGATTATTTACTAGAAACCGTTTGCCTGTAAAATCAGCATGACAACGTGCAAAGTCATCCATCGTATCAGCTCTACACTAGGTTGCAGGACATATTCATTAGTCCCTATCGCAGAGGTACTACGTAGTTGGTGTATTTTTTGATGCTCTTAAACTTCCTAGATAAACAGGCTCGGTCTCGTCCATTTTGTCGCAATAAAATGGGTTAGCGCATCTATCCAGAGAAGATTGAGTATAAGAGCAGTCCTTCGCCACCTACTTCTGTGGTGGACCATGTGTGTCATCCATATGTTCTTCGGTTGCTGAACTCAACAACTGTGAAGCCTTAAAACTGGAGTTAGTGATAGAATTTTTCTATTTGATGACATTTTTATGACGACCACATCATCTTTCGCCTCAATATGTTTATTTGTCGGCCACAAAGTAGAAGATACAAAAACTTAAGCGCAGCCATTTGAGTCCCATTTTACTAATGGCAGGATATACACATCCCTGTGTCAAAAAAAGATGGCTCTGCACAAACATTAGAATTTTTTTACGAAAATACAAGCTCACAAATTCCGCATATTAAAGATTCATCAAAATATATTTTCAAGCCCAAATGTGCAGAGCAAAAGAAAATAGCTCATTGCACAGATTGCATATGTTGACAAATAAATAAAATGTCAAAGTCATTATCGTTTCCAGAACGCTGAAATGTTGTAATATAATAATTAAATTAATATCTGGCACTTTTCTATCTCAAGAATCGGCACCTCAAAATTACTCAGAAAAAAATTTTGAGCTCCTACAGCAGCGTTCTCGTTTCCTCCACCGGATGCATCCTATTTGTTATCATAACAAAAATACGAAAATTGTGTAAATAAAATTTTAATTGCACAAAATTAAAATAGCTAGAAAATAGAATTTTTATAAAAAAGTAAGTGAATACAAATTTGGTTAATAACTCACCACAATGCCAACCGCATAGCCAAAAGGCAAGCAATTTGCCAAAAAATTCACCACAGTACATTTTTCGGATTTCACTTGCCACAACAATATTTTCAAATGAACAAGTAATTACATACAAACATACATACATACATACATACATAAGAACTTATACAATATATGAACACACTTCCGACCATTCACTAATGGTTTTCTGTATTTTCGCATCGCTTTTCATTTCAGTACGAGTACGGCCGCGCAACGCTCATAATACCCCAAGCTTACCCCAACGACGCCGGAGTGTACGTATTGACAGCTAAAAATTTAGCAGGCGAGGCATATAGTTCGTGCAACGTCATCGTTAAAGGACGTCTCCCGAACGAGACATCGGACTCAGAGTTGGCTTCCGATATGGAACCGATCAAACCATCGGTACAATTGCCGCTGAAAGATGTATCGATATTCGAAGGTAAACCGGTGCGTCTTGATTGTGTTATTGTCGGTCAACCGGAACCCGAAGTCATCTGGTACCACAATGAGCGCCCAGTCAAGGAATCAGCTGATGTGCAGCTACTCTTCCAGGGTGATCGGTGTTCGTTGATCATACAGGAAGTGTATCAGGAAGATGCGGGTAACTATAAGGTCGTCGCCATCAATTCGGCTGGTGAGGCATCGAGCAGTTGTGAGCTAAAAGTCACCCCGCTGAATATTGCCGAGCCTGCGACGCGTGCACAGTCCGAACGTCAGTCGGTGCCAAAGGAAACATTACCGAAATTCGAGAAATTCCTTACCGATGTGCTGGCGGATGAGGGTGAAACGGTTGAAATGGAAGTGATTGTTAGTGGCGATAAACCCTTCACTGCCAAATGGTATCTGGCCAACAAAGAGTTGAACGAGAATGAACGTATTTCGACGATCGCCAATCCTGCCGCAGGTGTGTTCAAATTGATTCTACGAAATGTGGTTGCCGACGATAGGGGTGTGTACACGGTTAAAGTTTCAAATAATGGAGGCGATGCTAAGTGCTTCTCGCAACTAAACGTTAAAAGTGTAAATGCACCGGATCATCAACGCAGCCAGCAAGTGGAACCTGTAGAGAATTTAACTTGCCCTGAATTCAAAGAAATCTTCTCGGACAAGCAGGCACACGCTGACGATATGGTGAAGTTTGAGTGCATTGTGAAGGGCAAACCGACACCCAAAGTGCATTGGTGTTTCAACGACCAACCCGTGCATGGACACAATTTCCTAGTGTCGACAAGCGGCGACAGACAAGTGCTCACCATACAAAAGGCCAGCATTGATACAGTGGGAAAAATTAGTTGCATAGCCGAGAACGAAATAGGAAAAGCCACATGTGCAGCTTTCTTGAGCCTCCTGGGACCAGGCATGCAGCCGATACCTGCCACCAGCGATCTACAGACCACCACACAGGAACACAATACCGAGTCGTCGCGTGTTACCATGAAGAAGCAAACCTTCACTACCACTTCAACGTCACAAATTAGCTCTTTTGAAGGCAATATCCCACAAACCGAGATACATCATTCCTCGGCGCATATCGATCAATCGCTAAAACAGCTGGGCGCACAACGACCCGAAGTTGTCGAAACCCATCACTATCAGGAGTTGCACAAAAGCAAAGACATGTCCGCACCAAATGTACAAAAAAAATTGTTCACTCTGGTGCAGTCGGCAGGCAACGGACTGGGTCAGCCTGCGATCACCAGCAACAGTGGCGTAGTGGTGCCTGAATCGCCCACGCGCCTACGCAAACAAATTGCGCCGCGTTTCACCACCCCGTTGACGGGTAGAATTGTGGATCAGGGCACAGATGTGGCAATGGAAGCGATCTATGACGGCTTCCCCTCGCCCGAAATCAAAGTGGAAAAGAATGGCGAACAACTGTTCGACAATCAGCGATTAAAGATTGAAAATCGCTGCAATCGTGTCAGTATCGTGCTGAAGGAAGTGGGTGTGGCAGATGCGGGACGCTATGCAGTCACCGCCACAAATACGATGGGACAATCAACGAGCACTGCCGATTTGGTTGTGAAGAGTAAGTACAACATTCGTATAATTGAAGAGTTATGTCTGTGGATAAAAAGAGGATGCTCATGGAAAATTTAATAAGAAGGAAAGTGCGATAATGTGGAATCCATTAATTAGAAATTTGCAAAACAACATACAAACTAAGTAGACCACGAACACCTACGCGCAACTGTGGGTGTCTGTTCATATGTACATACATAATTATATCCATCCGCATATGCATACTCGTACATATGTATGTGTATTTGTATTTATGAAGTTGGTCCAAACAAAATATCTACATAAATATGTATTTATTCCATGTCGATAAACATTTCAGTTGCTCTTTAGTGCTGGAAAATTAGAGCAGTCTTAATGGCTTTTTATTTAATTTGATCAGTTCGCGGGTGGCGGGAAGTCAGTTCAGGGCCACAGGCAGCAATTTTCGCACAGTCAGGCAAGCTAACTGACTAAACAGCCCCAGCATTACAGCCAAGCCATAAGTATCATCACCGCCATCAACATCATCTTCATCTTCGTCTTTAGCCTTAGCTTCGTAAAAATGTTTATTTTATGAGGCTATTTGCCAAAATTTAAACATTTTTTTGGTTCGTCACTCGATGTGTGCTGCTGCCTTTTGAAATAGGCACACAAAGCACAAACCAATCGCATACATATGGCAAAGAGAATCAAAGCGTAACAAACTTGAAATTCTCTAAATATCAGTCTGCAAGCAGCATTTCAATGTTTCATATTGAATTTAATGATTTTTGGCATTTTAAGACAAAATGTAGGTGAATAAATAGAAAATAATAAAATAGCCAAAAGAATGATGTGGTTGGTGGTGGTGGTCGCATGTGACGCTTGTGCAGATAATGTTGGCAATGATGAGGAGGTACACATACACGGTGCATATTGTGCTGAGAATCAGTCACAATTTAAAATTATTTATTTATTTAGCCATTATGATATCCGTCGGTCAACTGTTGCCGCCAAGTGTGTACGTGCATAAGTACATATGAATTATAACACATAAAAAGTATTAAATAGTGCACTCATATTTTCAAACAATTACCAAAATGTTGGGTAGAAAATAATTTTCATATTGGTTTTTGTTTTAATTTATTTTGGATTTAGTGAAAAATAAATATTTAGTTATTTAAGCAGTCAGAAGAGTCGAAATTGATGAATTAAACGTATATTAACTACGAGTAAGAGCTGCATTTTTATTTTCCCGGTACAAGGTTTTAATTGATGAAGAAATTGATGTGCTTTGGCACGAATTTCCGTCATACCTTGCCAGAAAGAAAAGAAAAGTGTAAAAACTTACAAAAATCAATTTTTCTATATCATGTCGCTCAAAAAAACAGCTTGTATAGTAACTTCACATTGGTCCTATACAGTGCTGCGCAGTTCAAAACAGAATTCGACAGAATTTTTAAACTATTAAGTTTCAAAGTAATACATTTAAAACTGAATTTTTGACAATTTTTTTTTTGTAAAAGTAGTTTTTCCGTTCAACAGTTTCACCTCAAAAATTCGCTGCACTATCTCTATGTCGTTGTACAGCTCATGCAGGTCATCCGTTCATCATCTGCGGCAGCCAACGTGAATACGCCCGTAAATCGTCTGCAGAATCTTTCAACCGAATACTCCAAGTGTGCTGAATGACCTTTAAAGTTAGCTTTTCGGATGACGAGAGAGGACCTTCTTTATCAATTTTCGACTCAGACTTAAGTCATTCTGTATTGGAATTTAAATCTGACGTTATTTTCGATGTTAATGCTGATTACAAAAAAATTAGTTCCCACTCGCTTTGCTGGCAAGTCCGAATATGTTAAAAAAATTGGGGAAAAAAATTTGTGCGGCAAATGTTAAAGTTATTTTTGACATACTTTTATGTGCTGATTACGAATCCGTATTTATAAACTTTTGATAAGCTCCAGTGAAAAAACGAGGTCAAAGTGCACAAAAAAAACGCGTTTTTTTTTTGCTATATTTCAGAAGCTCTAGCTAAGAAAGAAGAGGTGATATAAGCTTCCACTTAAGCTTAAATTAAAGCTAGAACTCTCGACCACCATCCTGCAATTAGCATTTGCGACATCAAACTTTTCGACGAAGTTCGCTTACCGATTTGATTATCTTTATACTTTTACACTCTATGATCCTAACATCAAATATCATGGTATTTTATTGCTTATCAGTATAGTCTCATACAAAGTAAGTAGTGGTACAATTGAATCTCCTCTTTGTTGATTAAAGGGATAAAAGGTAAAGTATCTAGCACCTCGTAGCTGTAATATTAGTTTAGCTTTAGTTTTAGTTAAATGATACGGCGTACATGCTGTTTTTACGTGCTGTCGAGAGCGGCTTTAAGATTTAGATTTGGCCTTGAATGCTATATTAAGAAGAATTGTCCTTCTTGTGGATTGAGTAGAGCATACTTATATTTGTTGTCATCGGGCATTCATCCTACCATGTTTTAAACAACAGTTAATGCATACAGTTTATGAACTCCTCACCGCCGTTCTTGAATAACTGATAAGCCAATGCACAAGCCGTCATAAACTAAATTGACGACGACCTAATCCAATAAAATACAGTGAAAAATCAATTAATAATGCAGTTCAATTTTTTATTTCTACCGCAACAAAACTCTCCACCTCCATGATTTTGAGCCATAAAGACTATCTACGAAATGTAAGTTGTTCTTCATACTGAAACATCTGAGTTGGTTAAAATTTGGCACAAATATTGACCATGCCCTGAGATATAATATGTATCCCACAATGCCCAGGGAACCTAAATACCGAGATTGGCTTGATGAAGATAACCATCTGAATACGAACCCATTTGGTAGCATAACATTAAACCGTATATCACGCGGACAGGCCTACGGAAAGCTAATAATTTTTAACGGACTTCAAAAAGGAGGAGGTTATCAATTCGCCGGAATATCTTTTTGGACCACGTATAATTAAACTAGTAAGCCCGGGTAGACGTTGTCCTACTAAACACCGATACATAGGCAGGTTACATGCATCCTAGAAATTATGGGTCTTCACACTGAAGATTGATACTCGATAACTCGGTGTTCGGTATTTTTTTCCCATGTATTTTGATTGTGTAACACTATTTTACACAAACAAAATACATTCGAAAAAATTACTGAATACCGAGTTACCGAATACCGAGCTCGGTGTGAAGACCCATATTGTTTCTTACGTTTCATTTGATATCCAAATTTACAAAATCCGTTTCGGAGATTGGCGTAAACGAACACAGTGACATGGGATTTTTAGATATTAAGATAAGTACGATGCGAGAAGCATAGAAGAAATTTCGATTAAAAAAAAAATNCTTACTTAATTAAAATAATTTTTTAAATAAACGAATAATTAAATGTGTCTATTGTTTACAGCTGATTTGAATGTGCATATATCACTTAGTTACATATGTCAGAGATAATTGAAAGTCTCGTTATTCTCCGGTCACTATAAAATCCTTAAAATAATACGAAACTTTGCTCTTATAACGATTTCAGGAGAATCCAGTGACTCAGGCAAATATATGGTAAAGGCCACCAACGCCGGTGGTGAAGCGAAGAGCATTGCCGATTGTGCGATACTCGAACCGACACCAGAACGTTTGCAGGAAGTTGTCAAGACTATCCTTTATGAAACACCAACTAATTTAAAAACTGAAGTAAGTCTGCATGTTCACTCTTTCACAAAGACTTAATATGTAATAAAAAGTGACAACGAATTTCACTATCGAATTTCATTTAAAAATTTCTTATTTATTTTTTTTTTTACTTATTATTTAATATTAACTTTAATAACTCTAAACATGTCACCTTTTGCATTTGTATAAGTATAAATATTTACCAATAAAACCAATAACTGAATTTATAAACAATATCAATTGATACTTACTATTACATACATTTTACTATTACATAAATTAAAATTATTTGTAAACTTTTTCTCTCATTGTTTTTTCGCCAACGTTACCAATAAAATTGAATTGAATTGTTCGATTTTCGACTCGCATTTTCGCTTAAAAAAAATGTCTGTCCATATCCAACTGCTTCTCTCATTGCTTTGTGGGGTGTTTATTTGAAATTTAAAAAAACAAAAAAAAAACACGCAAACCATCAACATTCGAATTATTGCATCAAACCATTTTACATGCATCCATTGCACTCCAAAATCCGTATTCAACTACCATCATCCCAACTATCAACCAAACATCCACCGCTGACCTATACCAATCTTTAGACCTTCGCAAAAGAGCCACCGTCCTTCCAAACGACACAAACCGATATTTCAACCTCATCCGATTTGCATGGCTTATCTGAGTCGAAAATAATAACTGAGCATCGTTGCACCACCGAGGCAACAATGCGTCTAGAACACAAGCAAGCTTACTTAGATCTGCCCGAATTGAGCGAACGTCCAAAGACGCCAATAACTGCCACCAGCATCAGCACAAACACGGATCTGCCCGATTGGCAACACCTGAAATCGGTATCGACCAACACAGACATCGCACGCTCTAAAACTGGCGCCACGCAAACACCGCCGCAAGTTCCACCCAAACCTTATTCAGCCTCTAACACCACTGCCCAACCACCACCTCTACAATCCACACAACCACCCCAACAGCCACATTTCCAACCCACGCTAAGCACAGAACTCGACGGTATCAGAGGCGACGCTGCGACTTTGGCGTCTTCCACAACGACCTCAACATCGAAATACGAAAGCTCAACAAGCGAGAAAAAGTCCTCATCTTTCGAGTTCTTCAAGAAAATTGAAAGTCAGGGTGGCACTTTGCCCACGCCACCTGGAGAAAAACAACAGCGTCAAGAGGTCTATGCAACGAACAAGCGAACCACACCGTTTGTAATCTCGCAGCCAACCGGACCGCCACAGGCAGCCTCACTAGCACACACGCTCGAGGAAGATCTCAAAAATTTAAATCTTGTACCCGGCTCACCACCAGAAATTTGCTATGTACCCAAGTTAGATGTAGCTGGCGCCAAGCCTCAAGTGTTCAGTGAGCGCATTAAAATATTGGAAGCTTCACAACAATCTCCTAAAGAAGCTCCGCCAGGTGGAATACGTACTTTACCGCTTGCGCCCGTTAGCCAAACGTTCAAACATGAAACCACCGTATCGAAGGAGGTGAAAGTTGAATATGGACAACCGATTATGCGTCCAGCAGCTACACTACCAGCACCACAGCAATTTAAGCGTTCGCCCTCACCTAAACCCTCAGCGGAGGGTGTGGCAATGTCAAAACTTTGGACACCAAATCATTTGAGCGGTTACGAGAGTTGTACAAGCGACATAGAACAATCCTATAAAGTAGAATCGGAGACACAAGCAAAGGCAGAAAAGCGTGAAATTCAACTACAAAAGGTACCAACGCCGGCTCCGGACCTAAGCGCCCCGTTCCTCGTGAAGGAGGTGAGCAAATCTATTACGATACCGCCATCAACGCAGCGTGAAAAAACGCCTCTAGATGATATTCATTTGGAGCCCGGTACGCCGCCAGAGATTTGTTTTGCACCAAAACCGGAGGTGCGTCGCCACTCTGTGGTCGAGCAAATGGAAAGAACTTTAGAACAGAATCTCCAACAAGGCCCAACCAAGGTGCTACCAATGTCAGTGCCTACTCTCACACCTGGCCCGGTACCTCAAGCACCTAGAACACTTTCGACGGCTACCTACAAACCACCGCCGCCAGTTATACCCACGAAATTGACCGTTGGGCAATCTTATGAGAGTGATTATGAGAGCGATCGTTGGAAGTATAGTGGCAGCGAATCCGATGAGGCATCATTCCGACCAGTTGGTAAAAGCGTTACAGATGGTTCGGCTGTATCGGTACCGATTGCGCCTACAACTCATCACTCATTCAAGACAAGTGGCTATGCTGCAGATACCGAGGAGATTTCTAGTTTTCGCAAAATGGAATCTACACAACAGGAAAGTCGTTCATTTTATGAGTCTACCTCCAGTTCAAAAGCTACTCAACACCAAGTGACGCACACGCCGCCAGCGCCAATACCTTCAGCGCCAATCAAGACAGCACCACAACAGCAATATGCACCACAACCGGCAACAAAGCCAGCACCAGCGCAACCGGTCTATCAGTCACCGCAATTGGAGATGCAAACACCGGCACAGCTCTATTACACAAGCAAGCAAGAAGGTGGTCACGAGAAACAGGAGTACTCGGACAAAAATGAGTACAGGCGAGAGGAGAAGGTTCGCTTGTTGTTGTTGTTATTGATGTTGTTCTGTTGCTACCACAATTTTTTTTTCTAACGTGCAACTTTTTAATTTTTTTTAACATGCATAGATTTTTTGTAGTATATTTGTTTAAATAATATAAGTATTTGTATATTTTATAATTTGTATAGAGGAGTCAGAATAGTATGCTTAAGCCAACAAAAGCAGAAGTTAAAGTTCTATGTCTTTCAGCATTTAAGCTCTGTACAATGAGGCTTCCTCACTCGTATCACTGTCCAGCTTGTGGGAGATCGCAAATCAGCTCCTTGGCTCTGCTTTCCTCTCCTCACTGAAAGAAATAGCAGACAAGGAACCGGGCTAAGAATCTAACATAGGTATACTTAATTGGTTGAGTTTCAAGTGGACGCTCAAAAGAAGCGCAGTTCATGAAATAATCAGCGAGATCGGTGACTTGAGCACCTCTGGGCCAACAGCTAATCAAAAGTGGCGAAAAAAATCCGAAATAAAGTGCTCAAAATTCATTGAATGGACTAGACTTTATAATATTAAGAATATGTTGGCGCTTGCACAAAGCGTTAGTGTTTGACCAAAGCTTCTCCTCCTATTTGTGGCGCGCGCTATGATGTTGTCACACAAAGAGAAAGGGCCTTTAGTTTTACGCCGACTCTGAACGATGATTGTATTTTTATGAGAAGCTGTTTTTCATGGCTGAATAAACTCGAAGGTTTGCCATTGCCTGCCGAGGGATGAATCTGACTTCAGATTCGTAATCAGCGAGCGCCTAAATATCCCTTGTATGAAGTCTCATTAAAATCGATCAATGATTTAATATTTTCGATACTTTTGATAAGCTACTGGCCCATAGCGAAGTGTGCCGGTACTCACATGAGTTCATGATCCTTCCATTTGGCAATGGAGTTCAGGCTCTGTTTTCAATCTCGGACTATTATTGATGATGACCGAGTGGTTTCGGAATTTAGATCAGTTTGCCTGCCCTCCAGCAGACCCTGATTAGAATTCCACTCCATCCCTCGGCAATTATACAGTCCGCTGCTCTGCAAAGACTTTTGATTGGAAGATAGTTATCATTATACTTATCTGAAACAAAAAGCATATGACTTTACCCTCCATTTGCCACCCAACTTCATTCTCATTTTCAGCCTTGGAGCCATCGGTATGTAAAGTTTTTACCGAGTTCCCCAAGGGATTATTTGAATCACTTGTCTGGGAATCACAGGTCTAGGTATTTCTCTGTCAAGGTTTTAAGCAACTTCCTGCATCCAGAGCTGCTATCAAATTTCCTAAATCCATCCTCAACTATATATTCGGTACATCCCCATGGATTGCTAAATCCAGGAGTAGTAAATCCAATAAAGCTTTTGGAACCATTCTTGGGGTCTTACTCATGGCGCCCGTAATGCCTCATTTGTAGCTTGTTCAACATAGAGCCTGTGCTACTGACTATGGTTCTACGCCACCATACTGAAACAGAATAAGTGACGAACGATCTGACTAATGCTATGTATACCCAAAGTATCATAGCCGTTCTCACACCCCAGGCCTTACATACTAAACGCTCTGTCCGAAACTATCCGAAAGCTTTCAGTACTCGATTTACCTTCAGCTCGACGTTAGTATTCCATGTCAACTTCGTATGTTAACTCTAGATATATCACTTTAAGTAAGTGAAAGATATCTAAACAGCGTTGGGTCCTTCCAATTTTCCCTGCCGCGTAACAAAATTAATGTTGTCTTCATTCAATCTCACTTAGGATTCTCGGTATCTTCACAAATATCTACCGTAGAGATCTCGATGAAGCCAGTGCACAAACATCATCGGTTCAAGTTTCGATGTGATTGCAGTATGGCGTCGTCTTCATACCTATCCCATGTTACGAGGGCCTTCTTTTTCCCCCATAATAACCAAACTTCTAGATAACATGGAGTGTATCCACCTTAGGATTGTTTCGGGCACTCCAAGTTCCTGGCCGCAGAGCACATATTTATTTAAAGTAAAAAGTAGCGATGTGAATATATCATCAAAGAACCCCGATCTGCATCGTCCTGCTTCCCACTTCGAACTTTGTAGCAAGGCGGTGTAGAGCTGAATCAAAGGAATTTCCGCACTAGTATGAGCAACCTCAATGTCCATCAAATCAAATCAAATCCTTTGATCTCAAGTAGTTTTCCTAAGTGCGGTCCAATCGCACTTAGCTTAAATGATGTCCGTCTGATTGGTCTGAGACTTTTTGCTAGCGCATCCTTTTGTAAAGTATATGTATATCGATGGCCACGACATTTATACTAACTCAGACGTGCTCATTTATTTTGACTTATGTTAAGCTGTTAAGTTACGGGGCTAAGTCCCAGTAAATAGACAAGTCTAAGTTACAACAGTTTGCTTGAGAGCGCTAGTTAAGATGCGCACTGCATTCGAGATAAATTGATGACTACTGACCAATTAGGACAAAGTTTTTGCTCGGGCCATCGATATGCACCTATGTAAGTAGTAAATAAAAATTTAAACAGGAAGCTTTGCTGCTATTTATTCCTGTGTTTAGTTATGTAGTAGATTTTTTTTGTTGGCTCAAAATACCCACTAATGTAGCAATTAAATCATCGAAAAAATCATTGTAAAAAACATAACATGCACTCGAAGCAATTAATCGCCACAAATGTCATATTAAAATTATATGAGTTAGTACAATGAAAGCATCATAATCACTTATAGCAAAAAAGGATATTCATGCATAATGTATTTATACTACTTAGTATCATATAAGTATATATTATATATTATGAAGTTCACGTGCACCTAAAAAAATTTTATATGTACGTATATCTACGTCAAAAATAAGTATACTCTTACGTTTTAACGATTTTGTTTCTTTATATTTTCCATACCAAGCTTTTGTAATTTTTTATAAAAATATAAGTATTTCATTTCTTTAGTGTAATAGAGTTCAATTTTCAAGTCGCTAAAAAGTACCGTTGATTTTCGGGGATTTTTTTCCCTGAGGGTGTTGCATGCCTTCTTTCGAATAAAAAAATATTATGTTCATGCGTTTATATGGAAGCGAATGCGCAACACCCCTGGCAAAAAATTCTCCAAAATCAACGGCAATATATGTAAATAAATAAAATCATAAAAACGCCAGCGTATACTTATTTTTGACGCTTATTGTTTATGCTTGGCAATGCTATTTTTTGCGCATCAATCGCCGTAAATATAACAAAACAATGTTATGTATTGTAAATAAAGAATTACGTTTGCATGGTTGGGAATGTGTGCCATTAAAGTCATGCACGTTATGCTACGTTATCTTAGCGAAATGTCTTCATATGTAGAAATAGTCGAATTATATTTTAACGAGTATTACAGCAACTTTTTTTTTCAAGCGCATAGAAAAACTGATCTTTTATATAAGTTAAAGAAAGGTGCTTGTTAGATGTTGTAGACAAATCTAATTGGACACCGACTTAATTTATTTTTATAACAGGGCGCAATTGTTTTTCAATCGTAATTAGGAACACGATATCGAACCGCAAGTATCGTTATTGTACTAATTAAAAGTATCACTCTGAAAATATCGGGTACCTATAAATATCGTAATAAAAATACCCAATATCCCAAATATTGTTCAAGGAATTAAATGTGAACATTGGTTTCATTTTCTAATTAGAATGAACTCTCCGCACTTTGATAAGTGCTTGTACATTAGGGTGGTCCAAAAAAAAATGAAATCGGATTTTTCATGCTCTCGCCCTAGGACTATTCCACACCAAAAAAGTAATACCCGTCTTTTTTTATTTTGAAATCAAAAAATATTTAGAGGTTTAAATTTTCCATGTACATATTTTGTATGGAAAAAAACAATTTTTCGAAGAAATGGTATAGAATTCTTGAAAATCAATATTTTTCGATCGGAAAAATTTGTTTCGCTCCAGGAGCCTTTGAGTAATAATAGTACCTAATTGTTTAATTAATCATTTTTTAATATTAACTATTTACTATAGGACCCCAAAAAATACAATAGGGGACCTATAAAAAATCGCTAATATCATAAAATGGTAAAATAAACAATTGGTTATTATTGGAGGTCTCGTGAAAAGAAGGCGATTTTTCTGATTTGATCTCTGATATTGATTTCCAAGAATTCTACACCATATCTACGAACAATTTTTTTTTCCCCATATAAATTACCGTGCAACGAAAACCAAAAAAAAATCAAAACACATGAAACAGTCAGTATACTCTCGAAACTATGGGCTAGGTATAGTAAAACCTCGTTTTTAGTATTTCCCTCTGAAGGCAGGATTATTCAAAAAGGACATTGCAATTTTAAAAATATCGTTAACTCAAAAACTTATTAGCGAAAGTTAAAATAACAATAAGGATACCAAATATAAGAAAAAAGTTTTTGGAATTTAAAAACATTAAAGTTTTTGGTTTACAAGGACGAATTTTCATTTCTTTTTTTTAATAAATATTGCAAATTTTCAAGGATATTCAGGAAAAAATTTTAGAAAGACATTTTCCATACCCATTCGTCCTTATGCGCCAAAAATATATTATATTTTTTAATTCTACAGAATTTTCTCTTTTATTTCACACCTACATTGTTATTCTACATGGCATTGAATTTTCTTCCACTGAATACCTTCCCAAATTGTCTATTGACTTTTAAAACTGGCACCTAGGTTTTTCTCGGAATGAAACTTTTTTCGAAGTAATGACTAAAAGGGACTATTTTCTTTTGAAATTTTAGCAAAAGTTGTAGAAGTTGAAAAAATGTTCCACATATTTACAATGTGCTCACAACCTTTATTATTTTTTTAAATAGTAAAAATATTCTTCTTTCTAAAGCCATATAAAAACTTATAATTATGTAAAAAGTAACCAAGATAGAAATTGTTTACTACGGGAAGTCGTGTAAAAATTGTATTTTAAGAAAAAGTTGAGGAATTGAGGGTGTTACAAAAATTTTAAACGCAGTTTTGTGAATAATTCGCCCAACCCTACGGCCTGTACTAGGACACTTAACAAGTAAGTTTTAGCAAAAACAAACCGACTTAAAAAAAATATATATATATACATTAGACTGCATCACTCCCCATACAAAACAAAACCGGTACTGTTTTTCCATTGGAATTATAAAATCTATTATATTTTAAGACGTCCAGAATAGTTTTGGCCCAGTTTTTTTAAGTTTTTCGTAAATCAATCTTTGAAAAAAGTAAAAAAAACTGCATCAAAAACCTTATTATTACGATTCCGTTGAAAATATTTTAAAATATTTTTATGCAGATTTTCTAAGCTTAATCTGTTTTGTCATCTGAGGAGACTTTTCTCAAGAAACTTTTCTTTAAGAAACTATTTTTATTCATAAAAAGCTCCATTTTTGGAGGTACTTTCAAATCGGTTCAGCTCGCTTAAATCTTCATATTTTTTCGAAATATTTTGGTGGACGTCTTAAAATATAATAGATTTTGTAATCCCGGCGGAAAACGCGCAACTTTTTTTGGTGATGCAGTCTAATATACATATATATTTCATGATCCAATGATCGGATCTAAACCGGTAACATACATAAAAAAAAAAAATATTACATCGCTAAAACCACAGTTTTTTGTTGTCATTCCGACTGCCTTGGGAATGAGAATTACCACCCACTGAACCAGGCCGTCTTTGCAAAGAAACAAAAGAGCTGTTGTGCATATGATCCTGCATTTGCATATTTCGGTGCGTTTGTAAATACACAACAATTAAATGCGCACACGGTTGTCATGGTAGCAAGCATAAAATTTGCAAATGCAATTCCAACTGCATATCCAAGACCATTTCCACAATATCCCGAAGGCTATTAATCGAGAATTGATCAAAACCTTCATCAACTCTCACCCCTAGATTTCCATCATCACAGACTAACGCCACCTACCATAGACGAAAAGTTCAAGTTGCTACGTGAGGCTCACGATACTTTGACACAACTCCATTCTGGATATTGAAAAAGATTAAACTGTTCACTCCAATTTGAATAAAATGCCCCCGATGATACAAACCATCCCTTCAAATGCCCTCTCACATCAGCTTATCTAATATCCCTCTCCCTACAGCCCAAATCAACCGGATCTCTACTTTTCCTGAGCCTGCCGTTAGATGAGAATGAAGGCAACATGTATTCGATTCGCTGATTTAGACATACATACATAGTTTAAAAAGCGGCTATAACAAAAAAAAATTTAAAGTTTTGCGTTCGATTTGACTTTTACTTTTTGATGAATTTTCGGCAGTGGGAAATTTCGATATAAAATTAATAAAAATATTCTAGTTCCATTTGCAATAAAATAAAGTATTAGCCTTTTTAGATTCTGGTAGATAAATTAAATAGGGGAAAACCGGTTTATACGAATATAAAAATCCGGTTTATTAAAAAACCCGTACAAAACCAGTGTGGAAAAACCTAGTCAATAAGTATATCCCTTGAATGAACAACATTGAGGCTGAGGACTTTACCGGCTTCGTCCGACTCAGTTACCACCAAAGCACTCTTGACCTGAATATCAGGAAAAGGTAGCCTTGTTAAGTTCGTAGTGTGTCCAGTACACTTTTTCAACTGTCTACTAGTCTTGATACCACTTTACATGAGTCCACAGCTCTTATTGTTACCTGGCTGTCCGATGTGATGTTTATACTGGGCCCATCAGTCATTCCAACAAGCTTCTACGAATACATCCACGGACACAGTTTGCAATTATGAAATTTAACGCCTGTATACTTTTCCAGATCCAAATGCGTGCTCCTCATTAAGCCCATGATCAATTTTGAAACCATTAGTTTACCAAACTTGGAATATTTCGCTAATCCTTGCGATTACCGCTTTACAAGTGAATTTATAACTTAGTAGATGAGGTCTACAACCACGTTTTTCGGCTTAAATCTATTAGTTAAGTTATAAGAATGTTTTTTCACTTGAACAGGAGTATAGATTTATATTAGCACAACATTTGAACTTCCAAAAAAAAAACAATGTATTTATAAGATTTATAAGTATGTGCAAATAAGTACTTATTTTCTCACACTTTATTTCTTTTGCAATAATTCTTACGCCCAGCCTCGTTTGTTGTTTGTTGTTATTCGCTGTATGAAGAGCTCTAACCCCACATGCATGCATTTCAGTTAATATTTTACCAATGTTCTCTTAAATCATTTGGCAGGATTATAAGAGCATGTCCAGCATAAGCAGCAGCTATTATAAGGCCTCCAACATAAGCAATCTCAGCAATATTGGTGCACCAAAATATCAACCAGCACCTGCGAAGATGCCAACACCAACTCCAGTTCACACAGCAGCGCCCATCCCAGCTCAGCGCAAAACTCCAGCAGAGTTCAGTGACTACAGCAGTGAAGTAGAGGAGCGTTTCCGTTCTGTGTCACGCACCCAAGAATCTGACGCCGACATCAAAGGTTACCGTGTGGTATTTCCACCAACGCCCACACCAAAGTCTAATCTGACAAATGGGCATAAATCCCCCGTAGTTGTGGTGACACCATCACCAATGGAGTTCGAGCCCGCACCACCTGCGGTGAGCACGTATCCACGTCAGAAGTTTGAACCAATCAAAAAGGAAATACGTCATGAAATCAAGACCGAGTCCCAGGAACAAAAACAACACTTCCAACAACAAAAAACACAAAAGCAGCAATATCAGCAACAAACGGTGTACAAACCAAAACCAGTAGCCGCCAAGTTCATTGCCGCTACGCAGCAGCAACAAGAGCAACAGCAGGCGCCGCGTACGCAACCAGCGCTCTATTACAATGCCATAGCCGGTACACCGTTGCATATGGCCAAAATGGCCACTGAGACGAAAAATGTCATGCATATGAAAGAATCATCTGAAACTTGCCAGCGTGTGGTGAACATGCAGCAGACGAAACGCGTCATACACTTTGACAGTCAGAAGGAACAGCAGGAGCGTCAAGTGAGTACACCACTCGAGCCGTTCCCTTACAGCCCATCGCCCAGTCGCTTCACACCGACACGCCAGACACGTGCGCCGCCGCCACCTACACCGACCAAGTTCGTGCCAGGCGAGTTCCGCGAAAGCGATTACGACAGTGAAATAGAAAATGCAAAAATACGTCCACTCTGGACACCACAAGGCGAATACGGTCCGCTACGCTTCAGACACGTCGAGCCGCCACAAACCGGACGTGCCTGCAGCGTGCCACGCGCATACGAACGTGTGCTCTCGCCTATGGAATTCGATCGTGGTCCAGAAATGCCTCAGAAGATAAAGATCGATCCGAATGAATTGCGTACACAGCGTGGCAGCAGTCTCAGCACTGGCGCTACCACTAATCAGCGAACACAATCCTTGAATCGCCACGCATCTATGCAAAGCAGCAGCAGCAGCAGCTATCAGCAGCGATTTCAAACATTGCAACGCGATCACACTGTAGCCGAAACACGATTTCCACGTGACGATATGAACTTGAAGGTGGGCTCGCCGCCCAAATACGGTTACATACAATCGCATATCGATCAGCAGGGCAAACAGATGAGCTCCACTTTCTTGCAAAAATCGCAGCAGTTCATCAAGGATATCAGCAGTGATCTGCACAGGAAGACTAACAAAACAACTAAGTTGTATAATGGCGATGCCGAACCGAAGGTAGTTACACACTCTTTCCGGCCTGGTTTCAAGCGGGCACCCAGCGAGGGTGACAACAAACCACAAGCCTATCGCGATGAGTCGCGCATCTCGCAATACGGTAAGTACTCAGAAAATGTCTCACATCGGAATTCTTATGCGGTGCATAAAAGTTGTGCATAAATTCCAAAAATTTATAAATCTTCTTAGGTAGGGCTCACTGGCCACCATTAGACGTCATTTATTTTGGAGTTCACTTTTAATTTAAGCTGCATATTTCAAGCAATTTTTCCCCCTACTAACTTCATATGTTTACACATAAGGAATGCTTTGTTCTGTTTATTTTTACAATATATTCACTTATGCATAAGTTAAATTTATTATGTTTATTTCCACTACAAATGTTGTCTCTTGTCTATCCTTCGCCAACCGACCCATCCAAATCAAAATTTTCACTACGTCCACGACAGGTACGAAATGCGTCGATCCCAACACCGGTCTAATTTACTTCAAATACGATTTTGGCTATGAGTTCGGTATACTCTTTCCGGGCGAGGGTCACAAGTTTGTAAGCAGTCAGTGGAATAGCTCGTCATCGGCACTGCCACCGCGTCCCTCATCTGTCACACCCACGCATCAGATACAAGCTGGCACAGGTCGAAAATCACCGTATCCTTTAAATTTTGCCAGTGGTGGTGATCTCGTCATACCAGTCCAACATGAACGTACCACCACGCCTACACCAACGCATCTTAGAGCGCCGTATGCGCGGCCACCATCACAGAGTGGCTATCATTCTGATACCACCACAGTCAGTCGTCGTCGTAGTCCAGCGCCAGGAGCGCGCACCAGTTCAAGTGGTGTGCATAGACTTCAGAAACGTTATAGTCTGCCAAATACACAGGTTATCGATATAAATATCGATCATCTTCATGCCAACGATCAATTGACACGTCTACCACTTATACGTTCAGGTATTATGCTCAGGCGAGATCATGGCCGCTAACTTTAGATCACCTTATCGTCTGTTGCTAGATAATTTATGTTGTAATAACAATTTTTTGTGGCATCATTTGAAGCGTCTTTAGCACTGTTTTGATTTGGAATACAGCAATTTTTGCAAAGCATACACATTCCAATCAACTGCACCGATTACAGAAAGTAACTTGCGAGCAGCTTTCACTTGCAAGCAGCTTTCATTGTGCACATCCATTTACTTGTACAGTTAAAAAAAAAAGACATGCATATTCGAAAGCCGTATTTAAAAAAAAAAATGCATTTTCTTGCTGTAAAATCTGTGCAATAACGCTGTCATTGATTTTCACTTTAAATACATCATCTTAATATTCATTCAGAGCCTAATGCTTCACAAACAGTCGGATGGTTACTCACCTTTCAGCTGGACTTTACTACTCCGAAATGCTTACGGTGCTTCTATGCTATAAGAATGGCATGGCTCCTTTTTGGGAGACTTGGTTCAATTGGAAGTGAACACATTTTTTCCAAAAGGGGTTTTTTTTATTGTATATAGTACATATATACTCACATGATTCTGCAAGGTATTTAGTAATCTAAAATAAATAAAAATAATCGAGTAGTGATTCATAATTACCTGCCACTGAACTTGAAGATGCATTCTGGAATAATAAACCAATCCCAATCTTTACAAACCAAATCCCTAAATCTCCGAATGCCACAAACGCTTTCCACATTCACAATCGATGTTGTAACAAATTGATGTCGTATAGAATAGCCACGTGAATTAATAGAAGAGTTATAATGATATACTTCTTGGAGATCATTGTTAGTAGTATTATTACCTAAGTTTAAATTTTGCATTGTAAATTAGAGCATGCTATTTGTGTATTTATATGTATGAGTATTTTGGCTTGTTAAATATGTTGTAAATTTGAGATATGTGAACGGTTTTTTAGTACTAAAAATCGGGGTTCAAGTAAGTTAACCACAGGAATATTGATCAGATGATTGATTCGAAAAAATATTTTTTTTTTTCTATGACATTAATGACTATGATATCAGCCAGTACGCTCCTGCCATTTATTACGTTATATCTTATAATTATTGGGCATATTTTCCAATATACAACTAAATGAGATCTCATTTGGTTAAACCTTTGGTTCAATTGGATTATTTTAACTAATATTTTCTGCCTAACATTGGGTTAAGAAAAACTGGACTTCAACTTTATACCAGACAAGACCGAATTTGCAACTCTCGAGAAAAAAACTCAAGGTAACTTCTTTACAGCCCTTGAACCTGACAATCAGCTGAGGTAAAAAAAAAACAGGAATTTTTCTACGGTTTCAAGCAACTAAGTAAAATCAAACTGAAATTGTTACTACGCTAACCAAAATTTCGACTTGGAATTGAACAGAATTATGGGCCGAAAAATACAAAAAAAAAGATATTCCCAGCACACAGACTCGCAATAAATTGGGCATTGTTGTTAGCTCCTGGTGGATGGATTAGAAGGATAAGGCAGAAAAAGTGGATGTAGTAAATCTTTACTCCTCTGAAAAACTCGAAGGGAAGAATATGTAGCTGGTCAAGATAAAAGCCCGGTTCTTGAAGAAAAAAATGCGCATGTTCAAGTGAAGCTTGGCTGTATTTTAAATTGAGAATTCTTTACTTTGACTAAATTAAAGTTAAATGACAGTTTATTTGAAAAAAAAAATCATAAAATTTAAATTTCTTCCGGGCATTTATTTAGTTTTAGGTAATTTTTAAGGATTATTAAAGTTTTTAGGTCATCAAAATCTGAACCCTGATGATGAGGTGATAACATAATTTCAGTCAGTCCAGAAAGTACTCACATGACTCAGAGTTCTGAAATTCTTTTTGGTATTTTCTAAGCACCTTTAACAAAAACTAAGCCACGAAATGCAATCTTTTTTTTTGCTCCCCTATATCAAATTATTCTAAATATAGTGAACGTCTGACGTCAGAAGCCTTTTTTAAACGACTTCGAAATGTCAAAGATATTATTAGTTTAATAAATTTTTTATAAAATTTAGCGCAATTTAAAATAAAAATATGGGTATGAAATAAAAGAAAGAATTCTGTATAATTGAAAAGGATTATTTTTTTTTTGTGCGAAAGGATGACAACTATTTAAAATTTATGATATTTATTTTTGGAAAAAATACATGGTAAAGATTGGTAAACACATGACCACATCCTCCGATTTATTTTACTTATTAAATAAAATTAATTGAAAGGGCATTTCCAATACCTACTTGTCCTTGTGACCCAAAAAAATTTAGTATATTTTATAGCATCGAGCTTGTTAAAAATGACTCATAATCTAAGTATATTTTTTTTTCATTCTATAGAATTTTCTCTTCCATTTGGTACCCATATCTACATACTGTTATTGTACATTACACTTATTTTTCAATAGTTTTAAAATTAACCATATTTTTGAAATTTGAAATCCTTAAAAATTAAAAAGCAGTTGTATTATGTATATGTCCTAGTTTCGGAACATACTGATTTTTTATTGTGAAATTTGTTTTTTTTCGCACGGTGTGATATGTATACTCCATAGAGTAAAAAAATCATATTTATTCAATATTTGTGCTATGCACGAGTATATTTCTTTTGATATGAATTTGACGCGATTATGGCCGCTTTACAAATGTTTTGCCATTGCTTGACGCTCCGCCTGCATGCAACTATTTACATATGATGCTATGTTAAGTTATGCTTCGTTTTGTTTGTTGTTTTGAATTTGTATATTTTTCAAAGTGCTTTGAGTTTGAGAACGCGCCTACCATTAATTGATTGCCTTTTAATTGCGCTAAGTGAATCAAGAATATGAAAAATCAAATGCAATTTTTAATAGCTTTTTTCCTCAAATAATAAATATATACAAGAAATTGCTTTACTTTAACAAAATTATAAATAAAATCGCAGTACCAGATTTGCCATCGGATGTTCCTGTGAACGCACATCTAAATCGGGATGATTATCCTAATAGAGCGCCGCAATTTATAACGGTAAGTGGCATTGGATACAAATTTTATTTTATTTTTTTCTTTAATACTGCTGGTATGTACACTAGGGTAGTCCAAAAAGAGTAAAGTCGGAATTTTAATGCTCTCACCCCTTAGGATTGTTCTACGGCGAAAATATATGCCCCTATTTTTTTTTTTCAATCAAAAAATATTTAGAGGTCGCTCAAAGCGCTTAAAGTTTTCTATGTATTTTATATGGGGAAAAACAACTTTTCGTAGAAATAGTATGGAATTATTGAAAATCAATTGGGTGGTTCACAAGGTGTCGTACTTGTCGTATTGTTGTATGTTGTAAAGTTTTTAACGGCTAAATAAATGTTTAGAGGACTTGAAATCAACACCAACTATTTTTTAATCGTGTGGAATTTCATAATAAAACTTTTATATTAGCTTGCGAATTCCTTAAATATAGTTTTAGCCGTTTTAAGTTTATAACAAACAACAGTACGACACAAACTCCCTAAATAATATTCGATCGGAAAACTTTGGTTCTCTTCAGAAGATTTCCAGTAATAATACTCAATTGTTTATTTAACCATTTTTTAATACCAACGATTTTTGCTGATGCCCCCAGCTTTTGGGGTATTTTGGCGGAACTATTAACTATAGTTACTATAAAAATATGGTTAAGTAAACAATCGGGTATTATTCTAGGGAATCTCGTGCAGAGAAGCAGAGTTTTCCGATCGAAAATGTTGATTGTTAAGAATTCTATACCATTTCTACGAAAAGTGTTTTTTTTCCATATAAAGTACATGGAAAACTTTGAGCGCTTTGAAATATTATTTTTAATTTCAAAATAAAAAATAGCGGTATATTTTTTCGGTATAGAACAATCCTAGGGGGTGAGAGCATAAAAATTCCGACTTTACTTTTTCACATCCATTTTGGGACCACCCTAATGTACATAGATCCATATGTACTTATATAATGAACCAACAATAAATACAAAATTTCCCTACTTTTCCCCTCCTTTAGCCGCTCAAAGAATACGCTGTCATGGTCGGCCAAAGTGCTCGCTTCGAATGCATCGTACAATCACACCCACCATCGAACGTAATATGGGGCCGCAACGGCGTTGAATTGCAGAACAGTCCCAAAATTGTTATTGAATATCGAAATGGCGTCTGCCGTTTGACCATACCACAAGCATATCCGGGTAAGTGCCTTTTGCATTCATATGCAATTTTTTTGCAACAAAAGCTAAACGAAAAAATTTACTTTCCATCTCACTAGATGATGCCGGTGTTTATTCCTGTACCGCCACTAATCCCTTAGGCACGGCCACCACTTCCGGACAACTGCTCGTGCAAACCAAACGTTTATGAATAAATTTTGCCAAATGAAATGAAGAAGTTTGGATCTAATTTAAACGTAGGCATGTAAAAATCTAGCATCAATGCGGAATGTCTTAAACTTTTCAAATGTTTCATGTGTTTATAGAAGTTTTTGAAAAAAAAAAAATGAATGTTCAAGGCCGCTTAAATTTGATATTAATTGCCCTGCATACATGCATACAAACATACATACATGCACGTGAATATGCCATACATGATAAAACAGTTCAGAATAATATTGTTTGTATGTATGTACATATGTATGTACTCGTATCTACGTATAGAAAACGAAATTTTTAGCGTTATTGGGATATTACGACCACTCGAACGGAGTCCACTTGCAAAAAAAAAAATATTTACTAAAATACTCATCTGTTCATTGCATTGTCAGCAAAGAAGCTATTACGGAACTATTAGGCCGAATTTTAAAAAATGTATTTATATGCCGAAATTGTCATTGTTTATGCTTATATAACAATAGTATTACATGTGTTTTTATGATTATGATTATTATTTGAATAAATTATTCGTGGAACTTTCTTTTGAAGAAAAATTGTACAACTATGTAAAGCATCATTTGACAGTAGCATTGTATTATGAATGTACATTGCATACATTAGGGCTGATTTTTCTGGACTAACTACCCTACCGAAAAACATGTAGCCAAGTGTAATTTTTTGGTAAAAAGGTAAATATTTAGTTCGATCTACACTTCGAACTTCACAAATCACAAACCTTTACCACCTAAACTAACCTGGCTTAATACAAATTTTCAGATGCCAATAATCCCTTGGTTTTCAGTTTTGCTTAACTGTAATTATCAACAAATTTTTCTACATATCGGCGTCTGGATAAAAGATTGTCGTAAGCAACATTTTTACGATTTTGAGTTATAGGTGCAGTTATATATTTTAAATCAACATCTCTCGATTGGCGTTATCAGTGTTTGGGTATCTCCTTTAGTTTCCGAGGTAGTGAGTAAAAAGTATCGTTTCTTGTATACCATTTCACATCTGTCATGCAAAGTGGCTGCAACATGGCGTAACAACCCCAAACTTTGTACAAAGAAGTTTTATATTCAGTCTATACAACTGCGCCTTTAATGTGTAAAAAATTTGTGCCCCTATCATAAAATTATGATTAGGTTTGTTCATAGGGTAGGTGATCAACCGGGATTCTTAAGGATTCTTAAGGCCTAAAAAGTCAAAATAAAATAACGAAATAGGCTGGTAAATCTAACTAAAAATCGCAAAAAAGGTAATAAATAATCGAAAAATAATCAAAAAATACGTTTATTTTAGAAATTTTTAATTTACAAGTAAAATGAGGACAACTATGAACTACATTACGTTATATAAAATCTCTATAGTTGTAGTAACATTGAACTCAAGATGCCTTTTGAAGATTTCTGGCAGCATTTTTATTCGATTTTCGCGAAGAAAAGCCTTGACTGTAGGTAGTAAACATGCGCTCGACGTGAGTTGATACAAATGGCGCGCAATTTAAATATGCAATGTTTAAAACTTGCATAATATCAGGAATAACAGCTTTTTCCGTGCCTTTTACAAGTAAAGGTTGAATAGGCGAAAAAGGGCAAATATCTTAAAAAAGGTAACATCAAATGTGTATATATGTAATCAGGGAAAGCTAAATCGTGGACATTCTTAATCGAATATACTCTATCCCTTTAGTAGAAAAAAGGACAGTTTGCATAAAATCCGTTCCCTGGTAATCAACATTGTTGTCAGACAAACATGTGGAGATTCGAAGACGAATTGCTGCGACAATTCTGTATGCAATTACCACGGCGCCTGCGGTTCGACATATGTATGTTAAACGCCAGTGTAGGTGTGGTTCCTAATGCTACGCTAATTCCTATTTTACAAGTGTAGCCTTCTCTAGTGAGTACCACTAGACAAGGGCTCCTTGAAACAATATGGGCTTAAATCTGGTTTCCTAGATCTAATGAATTCATTTGGGTGAGAGACATCACCTTTTACCGATAGCTCCCCTACAGGAGTACACGACACCTTTGCTACCCTTTCCTCAATGTTAAGCTCCTACGACAGCGACCCTTGAACGCTCACCTAGTTACCTGGTTCAGTTTACCTTGAGCCAGATCAAAAAGCGTGTCTAGAAATAGTCCCTTAACTAAAAGTTCCACATCATCTACATAGGCGATCACCCGATAGCCAACTTTTCCTGTTTCTCTAGAAGGTCCAGAGCAGGAGAGAGAGAACACCACCTTGTGGAGTGCTCCTAATGACTCTGCACGGAGTGCGGTAGTACGCTCTAGATAAGCCCTATAAGGTTTATTTCAACCACCAGAATATGAACCACCTGACTATTGCCTGTGGTGTGATATTGTTGAAGACCCCCTCGATATCGAAGAAGGCCCCTACTGCATAATATTTGTGCGTGACGGGTTTCTCTGACCACTTTACCAATGTATGCAGGGCGATATTCACCGACCTTTTCTTGCAATAAGCATTTTGAGCTCTTGAGAGACAGTCACGAGGAATCGCGGTTCTTATGTACAGGTCTATCAGTCTCTCTAGCGAGTTTAGCAAAAACGAAGAACGGCTGATTGGCCTAAAATACCTAGGAGAAACATGTGTGCTTTTTCCGGCCTTCGGGCTGAACGCAACACTGACTACCCTCCAAGGCTTGGGGATGTACCAGGTCCTTACGCAGTTCGCATAAATAGGATCTAACTAATTGCACGACACCTTCAGAGCCCTTTGTAGCTGCGCAGGTATGATGTTATCGGTCTCTGGCGACTTTAATGGTTTTAACGAATTTATCGCCCAGACTTTGTGACGATCGTCCAGAAGATCGGGGCAGTACAGGACCTGGGGGAAGATTCTGAAACCAGTTAGCGACAATTTTCGTATCGCTATCGCACTTTTTGAACTGGTTACAAAATCTCACCCCTGAAGTACAAATATCGCAAAGAAATACATTTGACTGTACTTCGAAGTACGAAGTACAAGAGCGAAAAAAGAAGCACTGTACTTCCGAAAGAAGTGCGGTTGGTCACAGTACGTATGATTAACATTATTCGCTGCCCCTATTTCAATAAAAACTAGTAAACACAGTAAAAAAAAAACATGTGGCAACCTTCAAAATAAATCTTTTCGGCTGTAAGCCATCTTAAACCTTTTCTTTTGGTAGCCCTATTGCAATAATTACTTTTTCCTATCAATTTACTTAAATTGAAATTTTTAAACAGGTAGCATCTATCTAAAAATTGTTGACTTGGCTTCTGTTGCTCTAATAAAGATCCCCCAGACATCGACTTATTGCAGAAATCTCGCTTGTACGCATGTAAGGAGGCGCTCGTATATATGGTCTGGACTTCGTGGATGCATCGCACGAAAAAAAACAGACTGTTGAAGTAATGTGGATTTTTTTATTCCGAATCGCCACCGCTTCTTGATATTTATTGTAGAGAATTCCTGGGTGGTGGGAATGTGCGCTTGAAAAATGTGGAGATCAGCTCCAAATCCAATTAAAATATGAAACGGCATGAGAAGTGTGTTTCCTGGTTTGTATAAACAGGCTTCTAAACACAGTAAAATACATTGAGGCCACTTCAGTCTCAAGTGAACTACTCATTTCTAAAGCCGGAGCAACTATTACGCCCAATCCACTAATTTTGGGGAAATTTAAGGACGAGACGCGTAAAGTTGTGGCCAAGTTATATGTTATTAGTGCAGTGGTGTGAAAAGGCCACTAAGTAGAATCATATCCGTGGAGGAGATTCGAGAAATAAGGTTTTCCATATATACATAATTGGCAATATCCAGACCTAAAAATAAATAAAAATGTTATCACAATTCAAATACTCTGCGTGTTCTTTTTTTAACTTTATTTCCCCCAAGGAGAAAATGGGTAGTCCTCTAAGATGAGTTCTCACTATTTGTTTGGTGCTGTTGGAGACAAGATATTTTTAAAATATATTTTAAGCTCCCATGTTGCTCAAGTCCACCTCGTTCTAAGTTCAATGCTAAGATCACTCAATTATCAACAATTTCGCTTACTTATTTATCATTGAATTCAAAATCGGATTCGTTTGGCATCGGAAAAGGGTTGGCATGGTTTAGGCTAAGTTCACAATGCGTAAGAGCTCTGACTGACTGAGTTATTTGCTGTTCGACTAGTTGCGGGTGAAAATTGCTAGTAATTGAATCTTACAGAAACGACAATGTCTGTGAAAAATTGGCTGCAGTGAGTGTCCATATCGAAACGGTTGCAGTGACCCGATAGCAGCCATGATTTCTTGATCCAACCCATATAATCTAGGGCACATATGATCCGCCTTTAGCAGCAACACCCCCTACACGTATCGTTTAAAATCCAAAATCTGTCAAAGATAATGGCAGCATTGTTAAATCTATTACCACGCCATTAACGCCATCTTGCTGAATTTTTCTTTTCCCACACTTCGTTAAGGGAGCTTTTGGCAACAAGATCACCACAGATGCCGCCACAATGCACAAATTGAAAAATTTCTTAAACCCCAAATGTCAAAAATACTCCAACACACCTAAACCTGCCTGCAATACAGATGCACAATTTTCAAAAAAATATATGTACGCATACACAGATTCGAGAGATCTATGTATATTCACTTTCGAAAGCTTCTGCTCGTAGGGGAAATGCCTTTGGCATCACACATTGGGCGTCGTGCGAAAGACATTTGTGAAAATCATTTAGTTGCCCACGAAATATTTTCTCTATTGGCACTGAGCCAGAAGACACTTGGCAATTTATTTTGAAACTATTATTTTATTATTTTGACAAGATGAACTCTCGACTTACCACATACCTGTAGAGCGGCACTTCGCGCCGGAAACATTTTCATGTGGCAGTTTCTATCAGCGTGAATAGATATGAGAAAACATATGTATACAGGTAAACGGGTACCTATGTTAATATAATAGAATCCCTACCCGACACGTGTCATAAAAATTTAGCTAATTTCTCATTAGGAAACTAGTAAGAATGTTTATATGAAAAGTATCCGCCGAGTTTTGAAGAACTTTTTGAAAAAAATTGCCCTTATTGTAAATCAATTCTAATTATGTAAGCAGATTTTAGGTATTAGGATCTATGACCTTTTGCTATTTTTCGTGTAGCTTCATAATGCCATCGGTGTAGAACTTCTGAGGTTTATCAGCGAATAACCTCGCTATGTTATTTCAAGCGGCTCTTCAGTAGGTAAATTTTGCAACATCAAGAGAGTTTCCAGAGGTTGCAAATGGAAGTCACACAGTGCACGGTCAGGGCTATACGGTGGATGCATTAAAACTTCCCAACCAAGTTCCGTCAATTTGTTCGGAGCCATTAAGGATGTGTGTAGTAGTTAGTAGTGCTCAAAATTCTCAGGCTGTAGATGTGCAACAAGGTCCTACTTTTTCGAAAAGAGTTGCCACATTTCATAAAATTAAGGTCAAATTATTTAATAAGTTAAACCAATTATTAAAAAATGGACATCCATAGAAATGGTTTTAAAAAGGTTTGTTTCTTACTTTCGTTGTAGGAGGGGT